AAAAGCGAAATTAATGTGCTAGACATCTAAGCTCATATAACACTATAGGAAGGTATAGGAAAGGGTGATGTCAGGTGATAGTTGCTATGCGTCAACTATCTAAAGTAACGTTGAAAGGTTGAAAGGTTGAAGATGGGTAAGGGGTTGATGAGGGAAAGGGTTATGGTGGTTTAGGTAAGGGAATTAGATCAAGTGAAGGATATTTATGCATCTGAGAAGGAGAACAGGTTGTCAAGGCTGAAACTGGGATTCTGTAAGGATGTCTGATATGTTGGGAGGTCGGTGAAGGGAGGATAGGTGTGGAAGAGCATAGGTACGTGCTGTATTAAAGCATGGACAGGACAACAGATGTGTGGAACTGAAAGAGGGACAGGTCTGGTTTGTGAGAACGGAAACCGCGATATTCCAATGTAGGAGAGCTATATCTTATTTATTTTATGAGTTAAAGCGTCGGTACGTGTTGGGGACTCTGGGGGGGGGGAGGGCTAGGGGTGTAAAGGAGGGTACCAGGAGTAGGGAATCTGGAAAGGGCATTGTTGTAACATGAATGATTCCGGGAGGGAGTGGAAAGGATAGAGGGGATGGAAGGAGGGAGAATGTGCGTATAGTAGTGGGTTGTGCTGGGAGGAGTAGGAGGAAGTGGAGTGGGGGAATATTAATGGTAGGAGGATGGATTTCGGAAGGATGGATAGTTGTAGTTGAAGGGAATGTGTTGTCTTGGGAGGGATTAAGAGGAAGGGGTGTAGGGGTGCTACGAGTAAGAGGGGGATGGATATCAGGATGGATAGATATCGGTGGTGGACGAATTGAGGGGGTTAGGTTGTGTTGAGAGGGAGGAGGAGGAAGGGGTAGAGGGAGAATATGAGTAGGAGGGGTATGAATATCGGCAACCACTTCAAGTGTGGAGGGAGCATGAGTTATGGGATCGTGTGTCAAGCATATAGCTTTGAATGTCTTCCATAGTTTCTGCAGTGGAGTTGGTTGAGAGTTTTTTGGGATAAAGGTTTTCTTATGAGGGGGGGAAGAGGAGACTGGTGTCTGAGGCATAAAGGTAAAGTTAGGTGGAGGTGAGTATGCTGTAGGGAAGAAGGGTTAGAATATTTAGTCTGTTGGAGCTGTGGTTGAGATTGAGGTGTCTGGGTTTAGAGTGGCAAAAGAATTGGTCTAAGGGAGGCAGAATGTAGAAGTGGAAGTGAGGACATCTTGGGGTGGAGGGGGAGGGGCAGTGCGAGCGATGTTACTAGAGTATGGAGTATGAGAGAAACCTTGTCGAAGTGCTTTGTCTGCTTTCACGTTAAGCGAGACCATTTTTGTACCCGAGAGTTGCTACCTCAGATTCAAACTTATAAGTGGGACAGCTTCTATAAATACATCACAGGGGGCGCCGCAGTTAGCACATGTTCGTGTTTGTGCTAAGCAGTTTGATCGGTTATGACCAGGTTGGGCGCACATGGGCATGGGGCATCGGTCTGTGGAATGGCAGTATTTGGCAGGATGTCCAAAGTGCCAACAGCTTTGAAATTGATGGGGAGGGGTTGGTATGGTCGAACAGGGAGGGATTGTCCACCGATGTAGATACGTAAGGGAAGGTCATGCGTACGGAAAGTAATTTTGGCAATGTTGATCGGATTCTTTTGTTGACCTCTAGTAGGAATGGTGTAACAATGTACTGATTTCACATCTTGGTCTTTGAGGCATCCTAATAAGTCTTCTCCACAGTCTGACCAATCTTTGGTATCGACTGGTCAGTTTGCTGGGGGGGGGGGGGAGAGTTCCAGTACAAGTATTAAGGGTTGGATGAAGTTCTGCAGAAATGGTGTTGCCAGAATAATCAGTTAAATTTGATCGTACTATAGCTTGTTTGATCTGACTATTACGAGATGAGAACAGTCTGGTATAGAAAGGGACTGCCCACTTGTTTTTGGAGGCATTGTTGGAAGAGAAGAGTATTGCCGGAGTAAGGAGCTGTAGAAGGGATCAAAAAATCTGTTCCATTTAGCTGGGCTAAGCAGTATTTAAGATATTTGTAGGGTTGGTGGTGGTGGATGGTCGGGGACATGTGGAAGAGGGAGTATTCCGGAGTGATGTAGAAGAAGGTTGCGGGGGTAGAGTTGCTGAATTTGAGGAAGTTGAGAGGGTAGGAAGGTCTTGTGGAGATTGAAACTGCTTGGGTTGGTAATGCACTAGTAGGCATTGAGGAGTGGGTAGTAGTTTGTGTTCAGAGTCATGATCAAAGGAGAGCCTGGGGTTGGGGAGCTGGTGGGGCTATTTGATGAAGGGCAAGCCTCATTGCTCCTATTAAGTGTATTACATCTTTATTACTGGCCATGGGAAGCCTTTATTATGCAAGGGAAATAAGCAGTCCACCCCCCCCTCCCCAGTGTGGCTGTATGGGGTGAGGGTTGGACAACTAAATCAGGGGAGTACCTTGCCCATGGTTCCCCACAGGCCGTTCAGGACTGGCACAAGGTCAGCCTTTCATCCTTTCAGCACAGCTTTTACACCTTAAGAAGTAGGTAGAAGGGGATGGAGATGGGACGGAAAACAAAGCTGGAAGGGGTAAAAGACGAATTAGTGGTCGAGGGCTGTGACAAGGTAGGCGATTCCCAGCATTGGGTCCAATTCGTCTCCTATGCCTCCCCCTATTCCGCGACAACGGGCAAGGGACTGGAGAGTGGGAGGTATTATTGCCCATATTGCCGAAATGTGGTAGGTGGTATTGGAGAAAAGGATAGCAAGATGGGGGATTTAAATGAAGTTTAGGATGGAATTGAAGCCGAGTGTTCGGAGAGGAAGGCTTACTAGGTTACACACTATTTGGACTAGACTTGTGTAAAGTGAATTTGTGGTCGAGAAACTCACGATTTAGATAAGTGGAGCTATTTTATGAAGGAGCATGCCCCAATGCCCTCATTAAAATGATACGAAGGGTACAAAGTCCTTACTACTGGCCTTGGTAACCCTTGATTAGGTAGTAATAGTCCACCCCAGCCCCCCCAGAGGGGAAAAGTTAGATATCAAACAGGAATACTGTGCCCATGCATCGCCAATCCTTTCATGACTGGCCATAATACATCCAAAATACATCCTCCAAACAAAGGAAAATTTGTCCTAGACAGTACCTGCAAGAATTAAAAGACTAAAGTCCTTTGAAAGTTTGCAGCTCCATCTCTGATCAAAACATGTAATCACTGTAGTAAAGGAGTGGATTCCTGAATGGAGGGGAGGGAGGCAGAGTCGTGTTGTATTTTTCTATATCTTGGATTCAAACTTATTCGAAACAATGTAATTTATCCCTAAGAGTCAATTTCTAGGCAATGAACAAAGCCATAGGACTTTAGTCCCAGATTAAAATTCAAGTTTAAAGTTCTAGACTTGAAATATGATATGGATTTACTGCCTAAAAATTCTGTAATATGTTCAGGCCTACTTGCAGACATTCCATGAACTTTCTCCAGCCTTTTTGAAATGTTCAAAATTTGACAGTCTGCATGGTTAGGAAAAATGGAGTTCTAATCTTTACCATTTCATAAAGTTAGACATTCAAAGGCAAGTGGATTATCAAGTGGATTAAAGCATCATCAACTGTCAGTTATATGATACCATCTTAACATTCTGTTGCCTTAAATGCGCCTATCCTAGGCAATTAAGGCCTTAAACTTCCAATATATATATAAACTTTCCTAAGCCACATTTGAAGAGTTCAAGGGTGGGGGGGGGGAGCAATAAAGGTAATTGAAAGTTAAAAAGGCCATCACATCCTTTGACAAAGAAATGGGGCCCCTTCCTGGGGTATTTAATAATCCTGGAAGGTTACCATTCGAGAATGCAGCACACCAAGTGCCAGCTATTCCACCCCCCCCCCACCACCACTTTAGTAAACTTACTATTAAAGTGCTCTAGACTATAGCTTGTAGATTAATACTAATCTCTAAAAACGGTCTAAAAGTAGGACAACCTAGCCTTTTCAGCATGGCTCAGGATGGAGAAAAGAAACATGCAAAGTAGTTTAAACGAAGGCAGAGGTACAAGGCGCGGTTAAAGGAGCATTTCTTTTAAGCCTGCCCTATAAAAAACTAGTGAAGAATTGCAAAAGCAGAATTTTATGCCATTTCTGTAAATGGCATTGTATGCATTATTTCTATAGTAAATATTTAGCAGTGGTGTTTGCATTTCTCTTCCCTTTGGTTTAGTTGCAAAAAAAAAAAAAAATTCAAAATACTGAAGACAGGCAATATTTCTTTACTTGCCATGTGAAACCCTAATTTGGCCAAGTTTCCATAGTTCCCGTAAATGGGACAAATACCATGTGGTGCTCCATAACAATGTCAGGTGTCAAGGCATTTAACAAGGTTTGGTTAACAATTTATTAAAAAACTAAAATCTGATCATATCACACCGGGACTATTGGCATCAATTCAGGATACTTGAAGGCTGCTGGGTTGCACTCTATGTATCCAGCTTCATGAGTTAGTCCATTCATCTTTAGCTCCAGCAACTTTACTCCATTTCCTTGTCCAATTAACAGAGCATGCTTAGAGATTTCTGGGAAAGTAGCATCAGGCACACTGAAGTACTCCACCCACCAAGTTAATGGTGTATTCATTTCCACAAATGGCTTGAATTTCATTCCTGAAAATTTACAAGAGGATTAGGATTATTTTTATACACTCCAAATTTTAGGACCAAAAACTTAACATCTACATACCATGCAATGTGTAAACTTCTGGGCACCAGTTCTCTTGTACAGCTACAAGTACAGTAGCTCCTGTTGCTGCATTCCCAGCAAAGAAGCTGGTCAGCTTAGCAGGTTCATTCAGAGGCTTAGAATCAAGCCAAGAGAAGCCACTAACAGGGTCAAGCAAATAAAGCTGAGGAGTAAGTACCAAGATTAGGCTTACAGCATTTCCAGCATTTCCTGAGGGATTAGAATTAAAGCCATTCCTAGTCTTACCTCAAGGTTGTGTACTACACCAGATACAAGTTCTCGTGTAACTGAACACATCAGGAACACTTTTCCATATTGTTGAACCAAGACTGCATCATCCATTTTATGGACTTCCATTAGCCCGAGCTGGACATTATTCACCCATGGTATCACAATTCCATTCTCGTATGCTTCAACAACTATAGTATTTCCACTCCTATCAATCAAAACTGCCGTTTCGTCTGTAAGGGTAGAGACATTAAGTGTAATATAAAAGGCTATAAATCTATAATATTTTTAGATTATAGAATTTTACTTACCAATAGCAGGTAAATTTTTCACCAATTCGAACTTGTTTGTAGAGCTGCTAAAGCTGTATAAGTGTCTAACATTGCCCATAGTAATAGCTATTCCTACTGTTCCAGTTTCTTGAATGAAAGTCTTTTCAACCCTTTCTCAGCAACAAGCTCTTGGTGCACCTTAAAAAAAAAAAACTCAATGTAGGTTCATGCAACAAGCAATGAAATGCAGCAATTCCAATTATATCATACTTACAGTAAGTGCATCATTTTCTAGCTTTAAGGATACACTATTAGTCCTGCTGCAGCTATTGTCTGCCGACGATGCAGCACCAATGAAGTAGTTCTGTAAAACATTCGAGACATGTACAAATTGCTTCATAGAGTGCATATCGTGGTGGACGCTAAATTTCATTAGCTCATTCCACTTACATCTCCCTGATGTTCGAAGTGTATCCAGTCTTTACCAGATCCAAAATTGGAGTATAGTGTTGTTGTAGGGACAAATGAAGTACCATATTTGTCCATTGTCACATCACAACTTTTCTCCCAGCTCATAACAATGTAAGAGCTGTTATCAACCTAAATGGAAAGATTTGTTAGGTCATGCAATTAAATTTTATAGATCAGCTCTGACACCTCATACTTTTTCATGTGGCAAAGAGGGAAACTTACTCTGGCAGATGCAGAAGACTTGGGTTTTCCACCAAACTGAGCTTCATTAACCAAATGGAAATAGTCTGCATCAAATATGGCCTTTTGAGTATCTTTATAGGCTTCTTCAATAAGGGGGCACTTGTTGATGTACAAGTTCTGTAAAGATTATAATTAGTGATCCCTGCTAACAAGTGCTATATTTTGAACAAGCTGAAGTGCATTACTTACCTTGATGCCTTCGTTGTAGGTCGAGTAGGTATTTAGTGCATTTTCAGCATCTCCATACACTCCACTTACGAGCATGCCATCCACCGTGTGGTTAGTCAGGAGAGTCTCCTAGCAATAGGATCAGGATGTTAAGTTACCAAGCATAACTCCAAGCATAACTCCCATATAAATTTATAAAGTTAATATAATTCTTACTTTCATCACAACTGGATCCATAAAGTTAAGGCTAGCAGTGATTATAGCCGCTTCATTGTAATACCAAGCATTTATTTGCCAAGTCTACCACATCTATATCTCCAATCTCACCACTGGTGCTAGTTAAACTTTTCACAGTCAGGTCAGAAGAGAAGTGAAGACTACCTGAAATGGAGTAGTTTAGGTAATTTTTTTTTCCTCCCATGACAGGTGGCAACTGATCTCCTAATTAAATACATACCACTTATTGTTGGAGCTTCTGTCAGATATACGACTTCTGATGAAAAGTCTACCAAGGTATCGTCTCCTGTTAGGCCTGTTACTTCTACATCATTTGATACAATTGTCACACCATTTATAGTTTTCATTCCAGTTATAGTTTGTCCTCCTTGTATCTAATTTTAGAGATATTAGTGTATCAGTAATATGAAATTATAAATTAATGTATAATAAATTTATATACACAATTTTAAACCAATACATCTCGTGGTCATAATACACTTCTTACCTTCAGAGTATTTGCAAATTCTGCAGGAAGGTTAACGTTATTAACAGAACCCTGTACCGCCACATTAGCAGATGCATGAACATTATCAAAGTCCACATTCGTTATAAAGGTTTGTGGTGTATTTGTGGTTAGGTAATGAGTATCCATATCCAGATCATTTAATCTGATGGTAGCAAGGTTACCCTTCACCGATACATCATTTGTGAATTGCTGAAGGGAGAAAGTAGTTTTAGTATACTGAAAAGCATTTTTTTTATTACCATCTCTTGCATTAAGCATATCCTACTTACCAAATTTGAAGTTGAAGACTGCGTGCCATCAAGGAGAACTGCTCTAGTCATCAAATCCTTGTAATCGATTCCATCTACTGTACCCTTAAAATTGAAAAAGGGATTAATAATTTCCCCACTATCATACCCATTATGCATAGTCCAAAAGTAAAATTGATTCATACCTGTATGTTGAGGGAGTCTACAGTTATTGAAGGCGCAGACACTAACCCATTCACCTTCAATTTTTTGTTCAGGTTAATTGGGACATTCTTTCGTACAGCATGGTTCAAGTAAGTATTGAAGTTAACGTTGTTCAAGTTTGTGGTGAAGATATTCTTGAAGGCAACATCCTTAACGAAGTTCTTAGTACCTTTTATGGTTATATCTTTACCAGTTAAGCGTACTGCATCTTGAAGTCTTGCATTTACATCAATACCTCCAAGTTTCCCGTTGACTTGGAAATCGCCAATGGTTACTTTTCCATTGAAGACCAAGTTTTCTGAAAAATATTACCATTAATATAAAGTTTACCCATCAAGACTAACCATTAAGACTAGCATTACTTTACCGAAATGCTCACCAATGGTATCCATGCTTTGCTTGAGGGCTCTTGAGTCCAGCTTTACTAGGTCAACCCCATCAAAAGTACCATCGAGTGTCATACTTTTTTCTGCCGTTATAGTATCGAAAGTGAATGGAGCAGTGATATCTTGGTCAGTGTGGAGAGTGAAGAGTCTTTTACTAAGGTCAATATCATTTGTAGTTTCCGTGTTTATGTTTCCTTTCACCGATAGACCGTTTTGGAAGACCTTCTTGCCTAAAATTAAGATTTAAAAATCAAACTTTTATATTTCAAAAATTTTAAAAAGGTAAATTATCTTTTAATTAAGACTCACCTGTCACCCGAACAGACGTCATCTTTGTACACTGCATCATTGTGCACCACTTGCAGGTCCTTCCCATTGACAAGTCCTCCAACAGCAACATCACCTTGTAGGTCCAGGTCACCCCAGGTAACAGATCCTGTCATGGCATTGTTACCTGCCAGGAACACTGCATTCTCGTTGATTCTGCTTATATTCTGGCCATTAGCACCAACCTTGTTAGCAGTACTGACAGAGTCCTTCACAGTTAAGCTTGCAAAGCTCAGATCTGACGATATAATCGAGTCTGCATCATCGTGACGATGTTGCTCTTCAACTGTGCAACATTATGCCCCAATGTTTACTGCATCAAGTGAGCCAAGGACAGATACCATTCCATTTACAGTTAGAACACCCGAGTGGGGGGTAGGATTCTTACGGCTCATGCGAGTGCTGTCCAGCACAGAAATATCGATATCATTCATTGTGAATCCATCTGACATGTCTATTTGGTTAGCATCTAGAGCACCAAAGGATGCGGCTGCCAATTTCTGTGGCACAGTGAAGACTTGGTCTCCAGATTTGGCAAGAATAGTGTTGAAGTCCACACCAGAGACTCGGCCCTGAACATCTAGTTCTCCAGCAGATACTGTACCAGTGAAAGTCTTCCTTCCTGTTACCACTTGTCCTGCCTTGTCCAGGTACAATGCAGAGTCAAAGAGTTGCTTCAAGTCTACTCTATCAACAAGCCCAGTTACATCTACTGTAGAGGAGAAGGTAACAGGCTTCTTGAAAGTCTTCACTCCAGCTATTGGTTTAGTCGAAAAACTATGTACAAGGTCATCAAAACTCTTGCCATTGAATGTACTATCAAATGTTGCATGGATATACTCACAGGAAGGTTAAAGCTCTTTGTGCCTGAAATTGCTGCTGCACTGTCTGTGCTGTAGATTATATCTCTGCCGAGATCGACAATATTCAAGTTGTTCATATTACCTTTGTAGTCCACAGTTGGAAGATGGACATAGTTCTTGAAGTAAATGTCGAATCCTTTACCCATTGGGTTCTGAATAGCTGTAAGGTTTGCATAAAGGTCATCAAAGTTTACACCTGCAACCAAGCTGCTAGCAACGTTCAGACTGCCTTGAATATCAACACCTTCCGTGAGAGTTTTTCTTCCTACAATAACTTGAGGTCTATGAAGGGTAACCAGTTTATCAAACTGGATACCATCCACAGTAAGACTATTTTCAACTGTAAGATCAACACAAGTCAAATGATTGAAGGATTTGGTGCCCAGGTTCAAGGTTTTATCAGTTTTAAGAGGGAAATCGGATGGGAAATCTTTGCCATTTACCATGTCTCTCACATACAAGCCTTTGGCTGTAAGGGTTGGAACCCTTATCTTGCCTGTCAATTTAACATCTTGATCCTTGAATACAGTTGTGGACAAGAAAATAGGTGAACTAACACCAGATAGCAGGCTAGCCGTTAGAGACTTTGCAGTCACATCGTTTGTGAACTCCAGTGGTCCCTTCAACTTTCCACCTGCTTTTGTTAGTGCATTTCTGTATAGCTGCTCAATGATTACACCATCCACATCAGAGATCTACTTGTAGGTTATCAAGAACTGTTAAGTTCTTGTTGAAGACAGTAGAACCTGAAAATATTCAGTACATTTAATAACTTGCAAGATTAAGTTTTGGAATAACTTAAAGGACCAAGTAAATGGTTCACAAAATGATACTTACCTAATTTTCCTGGGCCATTCAAGGTAATGGCATTTGTCAAGTCAACCCCACCAACAGTGCCATCTTTTGGTAGATGAACATTTTTAGCTTGTAGGGTGCTGGCAAAGTTTACATTTCCAGTTACTGCATAACTTCCTGTTGTAGTTGCAACATCACTTACAGGAATATCATCAAGTGCACTCGTTTCAAGGTTTGTAACATCAAGGCTTTCGTGAAGGTCTTCTTACCAGTTATTTTGCGTAGATCAGCAAACCTAATAGTAGATTCAAATTAGAGACTGTACAATTAAACTTTGCCAGAACTAAAAGACTAATACTTACTTGACTAGTCCTTCGAGTCTTGAAGTTAGAGGGAAGGCATTACCATTGTCATCCAATACCTTTTGGAAAACTGCACTGTCAACATTCATATCTTGCACTGTTAATCCATCCACAATTACCTTTCTTCCATCTATCTTCTTGGTAGTGGTCAGACTAACAGCATCTAGAGATATACATTGTTAGATCCTTAAAATACCTGCCTGGCCAAAAAATTCTTCTAATTAAAAATAGCTTGTACCTTGTAATTCCAGTTCAATTGATGTCAAGGTATTATCAATACTCTGTAGCCATGCAGAGCTATTTGCAATATTTTCAAGGTGAGCTTTGTATCCATCATAACTTATTCCAGTAAGATCGGTGTTGGGGAAAACAAGGTTGTTTGCACTGAAGTCGGTAACTGTTAGGGTCTAATAAAAAAAGATTAGTATGTATATCAATAACAAGTTTAAGCTAGAAACTAGAGGATAGTGTGGAAAGTTAGACCAACCTTATCAAGGTTTATGCCACCCAAAAGTAACATCTCCAGTTATGTCAACTGTTGCTGTAGTAGTGTCTACAGAATGATTTAATCTGTCTTCTATATCAAGCATTACTTCCCTCTGGCTTCTATATTCGTTCTGCAACAAAAAAATATCAACTTCAGTGGCCGATGCAGAAGCAATGATCTAGAATATGGTGAACAGTGCCCTTGTCGAGTAGAAATTTTTAATTTAAGCTAATTTATGAGCTTACTAGACTAGGAAAAAGTTACCTCCAAGTACTGCTTTCTGTTCTTTAAGGCAACACTTTCATCCCACACAGGATCTTCGATATGTTGCATCTCTGCAAGAACATTAATGCCAACTACACCCGTCGTCGATTGTAGAATTAACTGGAATGCAAGTAATAGTTATATTTGGGGATTCCATACATTTTAAGAGCTCGACAAAATCTAACTTTAAATAAGTATACTTACTTTGGGAACAGCTGTACTAATCGACCTTACATCACCAAAGCCTTTGGTCCAGTCAGTTATATCAACTGCCAGAGAAGTGTCATTTGCCTGGAAATGAAAATTGGGACCTCAGAAAAAGATTTTCCCCCCCCTGCAGCCCCCCCATACATGGGCTTTTAACTTACCAGGGTATAAAGTCCTGTTGTTCCATCCCAAACAAAGATTTGCAAACTCGTTCCTGATCCGGTAACTAACATCACCTCATCTTTACAGGATGGAAGCTAGGAAGAGATTTAAAAGGTTATATTTGTTTTATTAAAGTAATTCTATTACATAAACCACAAGAATTTTTACTTACAGTTACAGGCACCATTTCTTTGAAACTTGCAATACTACCAGTAGGCAGCAAGTTCTGGAGA